GTTGTTAACCCTTTTGCTCTGTAGTGTGGATATCGCAACTCTTCGGCCTTGATTTCATGATAGATACCGTTAATCTGGGAGAAATTTGGCTTTTCGGACTACCCCCGGGCGTCATCCTGGACCACAAGGAGTTCGTGACCCAGTCGCCACTCCGTCAGGTTTAACCAACTTCGCTAGCGAGCCGGACATCTCCTCGTTAAGAAACACTTTTCTTTAACATTATACAAGTTAATGACGTGACGTCTCTACGATGGAAGTTGGCTGCAATCGATTTCAAGTTCTCTGTTTCTGGGCTTAGAAAAACACTTTCTCAGACTGCTTTGAGTCCATCTCTTGAAGTTATTCTACCAATTATGTCGCTGCCTATCCTTTCATCGCTTGCAAGTTTTCCCCTCCAGTAAGTTGTGTTGTATCCAGTCATGTCGCCTAAACTGTTCACTTGGCTTCATAGAGTTTCGTGTAAAGGTTAAGGCAGGAGCAGTCATACCTCACCTGAGGATTGAACCACAACCCATTATTTCAGCAAGCTAGTTAAAAAGTAAACTGAAGGAACTTCTTCAACGTCTTCAGGCGCATTGGGCATATTAAGCAAGACCTATAATTTGTAGACCATCCGGCACTCGGTGAGTGATGAGGTCAACACCACGCAGGCTGACCTGGATTCCGAGTGCTCTACCTGGTGAATATTCAAGGCTGGGTCGATCTGGCAGCCAAAGTAGTTTTTGTTGTTGAACCCATGACCTACAAATCCTCAGGCAAGCATCTAGCCGCTACACTACGGCGGCTCCTTGGAAAGCCAGTGAATGAACACAATCACTGCTTTCCTCTAGCTAGACCTCTCTAGCTTTTCCAGGTCAGGTCTAAAGTACCAGCTCTAAACACATAGAAACCAATTTTGTTTCCCGTCCTTTTCCAGCTGCAACGATAATGACGAGAAATGTCAGCGCTACCAGACAGGATCGTCAGGCCGGCACTCTGTAGTCATCTATTTTAGACATCGCCATTCAAATTGGGACTGGAGTCGCTACTAAGGTTATCCCTGAAATCGATCGAGTTCCTAGCGAGGAAATAGGATATAGAAGCAATCACGCTAGGTCGTTCCTAATTGCGCATCCATTTGTCATTCATTTGATTTTTTTTTTTTTCTTCAGTCACTTGTTAATACTTTTTTTTACTGTCTTTTCATTAACATTCATTCTGTCTCTTATATTTGATATAATTAAAATTAGTTTTACTTGTCCTCGATGAGGTTGGGTCGATTGTTTCTTTTGTAACTGCTATCAAATGTTTATATTTTAATTTCTCAGGTAAATTCAGTAGTTATAAACTCTTCCTCAGCTGTAATTTTGGTTGATCAGCCCAACATTAAACCACACGATGAACCACCGTGATCTTCTTCTTCTTCTTCTTTCGTTCGCATGAAATAAATTGTCTATATCTGCAAAGCCGTCTCTTGTATGAATTTCACTGTCTTTTGTAATTCACTAAGCGGCCCGTAAAGTTTGACTTCCACAAGTGTCTCTTTTGGCCAAATGTTTTGCCTGAAAGCGTTGAATATAGGACAGTCTTGAAGGATGTGATCTGTTGTTTCAGGTGCCAGTCCACAAGTACACATGGCCGATTGGCCGATCTTAAATTTGTTGTACATGTTGGAGCGAAGTCTATTGTGCCCTGTTCTAAGGCGAAGGATAATAACTTGCTCTGGTCTGTCCATAATATGGTAATCATCTTGTGCCAGTTTACCACCGTGATCATTATGTGCTCTACCATAAGGGTAGGAGGCCAAGGTTCGCATCCCACTCAGTCATCACATTCACTGATTTATCATCAATCAGCTGGTCCTTCACAGAACGTCGCTCTCTTGGCGGTAGGCCTAAAAGTCTTTCTTTCTTTAGTTAATTCTCTAGCCCTGTGTGACTTCATAACCAATGGATCTTCAGTTTCTGGTATCCTCGTTTGTTGAGGTCTACCTCTGTTACGTTCTCTGGAAAATATACTCTCTATCACTGTTCTTTCTAGGCCACTATGAGCTTAACATGACCAAAATACTTCCGTTTTCGCGGCAGAGTACTTTTATGAGCAAATTCAATGACACCTTGAGACTGCATAACATTACAACACATCAAGTGACTGAGCTCACCCTGGCTACCGAACATCATCTGATGAACTGCGATGAACGGGGTTTCTGTCTTCGTTATATTTAGGGAGACTCTTCATTACTACAGTGTCCAAAGGTTACTGCAAAGTTTGTGTTTTCAACTATCACTGCTGTATCATCTGCTCGACGTAGTTTGTTAATATTATAACAGCAAATTTGTGCTCCTCGTCTATCTTTGATCTCTCTCATAATAAAAGCCATACAATATAGAGATTTTAAAGAACAAAACAAGAAAATGAGGTGCCAGATTTGTGGGTGCAAAGAACAATATGTAGTTATTCATGGGAAGAAATCAATGACATAAAGCATTTTATCAGCCAAAAAGTAAAGTTGTTTATAATTCCTCAGAGAAACAAGTAATGAAAAGAGAATAATAATAATAATAACAATCATAAACAAGAACACAAGTGAAGCATGACGTTATCATTAGAATATCGGATAGCAACACTCATTAGAACGACTGACAGTGGAACAGTAGAATGCAGGCGGACATGAGGCAGACAAAGACATGAAAGGAAGACAACACCACCACTACTTCCTCTATTACTACTACTACTATTACTACTTCTACTACTACTACTACTAATACTACTAATACTAATAATACTACTTCTACTACTACCGCTACTTATTTTACTTCTACTATTACTACTATTACCACCACCACCGCCACGCCCCCCCACCCCCCCCCCCCCCCCCCCCTTTTTTATTATTTTGTCTCGTTTCTTCTCGTTGTGTCGATGGCTCTGGTATTTGCTTATTGTCTAGACTGTACGGGTGGAGGGAAATGTATGAATAGAATCATCATCGATGTCAATGACGTATAGGGAACAAAGTAAGCCTAAGAAAGGTCAGCACATATAAGATGAGAAAGGTAACGCCAGGTAAGTAGAGACAGGTGCAGAAAGGTAACTTGAGAAAGGTCACAACAGACATGCTGGTAAAGGTCACGACAGACATGCTCAGATAGGTGAGGACAGGTGAGCTGTGAAAGGTGTAGACATGCAAGGTGTAAAGGTCTAGACAGACCAGCTGTTAAGGTGAAGACAGACAAGCTGTGAGAGTGAAGACAGACAAGCTGTGAGAGTGAAGACAGACAAGCTGTGAGAGTGAAGACAGACAAGCTGTGAGAGTGAAGACAGACAAGCTGTGAGAGTGAAGACAGACAAGCTGTGAGAGTGAAGACAGACAAGCTGTGAGAGTGAAGACAGACAAGCTGTGAGAGTGAAGACAGACAAGCTGTGAGAGTGAAGACAGACAAGCTGTGAGAGTGAAGACAGACAAGCTGTGAGAGTGAAGACAGACAAGCTGTGAGAGTGAAGACAGACAAGCTGTGAGAGTGAAGACAGACAAGCTGTGAGAGTGAAGACAGACAAGCTGTGAGAGTGAAGACAGACAAGCTGTGAGAGTGAAGACAGACAAGCTGTGAGAGTGAAGACAGACAAGCTGTGAGAGTGAAGACAGACAAGCTGTGAGAGTGAAGACAGACAAGCTGTGAGAGTGAAGACAGACAAGCTGTGAGAGTGAAGACAGACAAGCTGAGATCCCGGTGTGGGTTCAGGGCTCCCTTGTGGGGAAAACAAGAATAGACCAACTGCCTTCCCAACAAACATGTCGTAGGAGTCGACTAATTGGGGACATCCTTCGAAGTCGGAGCTCATCAACCTGAAAAGCAAGGAACCAACAGTCTGCATACAAAAATGCCAGATCTGTGAAACATATGTAGACTCTGCACTCAAGGAGTATCTTAGCCTTTCAGGAAATCTCCATCCATGCTTAAACAGTAGCGGCTTATTTTTTCCACAGAAAAAGCCACTTAAACATACAAGCAGACTACATTGTCACACTGGTAATGGAAATCTCTACTGGCTGCTGAAGATGAGGACGGAGCATTTATCGGAAAACCTCAAGTACTGTGATGTCGACTATTCACGCGATATCATATTTGTTTTCATCGACATGTTCCAGCAGTTATATACAAAACCGACTCATCAACTTTCAAAGACCCGTAAATGATAGTTTAAAACATTGTTTTATTCTATTCGACTAGGCCTGTCACGTCAGAAAGGCTAGCCTTCTAACGTGAGTGTCGCACAAAAAACGAGCTTTGAAGCTCCAGCCACAAACCACGAGGGACTCCGTCCCTATTGATACAGTTTGTGAATAAACCCAGCATATTCTTGTATGCATATGGGTTTTGTAAAGACTATACGGTTAATAAAGTGACTTAGTATACACTTCTTCGTGTACATTGATCTTATAGTGTGGGTTTCCTTGTCCAACTCCTTGGATATCCACAAGAATTGACGAATTCATGTATTGAACCGGGTCTGGCAGAAATCGTACCTGATATGACATGGCATGCATTCATATTCAACTTGACATGACAGTTATGATACCTAATATGGTATAACATACACTGACGTGTAACTTGACATGACAGTTATGGTACCTAATATGGTATAACATACACTGACATGTAACTTCACATGACAGTTATGGTGCCTAATATGGAATATCATACAATGACATGTAACTTGACATGACCGTTATGGTGCCTAATATGGTATAACATACAATGACATGTAACTTGACATGACAGTTATGGTGCCTAATATGGTATATCATACAATGACATGTAACTTGACATGACCGTTATGGTACCTAATATGGTATAACATACAATGACATGTAACTTGACATGACAGCTATGGTACCTAATATGGTATAACATACACTGACATGTAGGTTGTCAGCTACGATACTTTACATGTCATGACATGCACTGACATGTAACTTGACTTGACCGCTACGATACCTAATCTGGCAGGACATAAATGACACTTACCGTAATTGCACTTTCTCCAGAGCCCCGAGTACACGCTGCGGTATTTCACCGATTTATTCCCCACAGCTTCCTTTGTTTTCTCTTTGGTGAACAGCCAGTAATCCGTGGCAACGGAGATGCACAAGAGACCGAAGGCTGCACAAGCACACACGCTGGTCATCACTGTCAGAAGCCGACGCTTCGTACAACAGTCCATGGTAATCCTGAAGTGAGGTGATCTGGACCCGGTAAAGGGTCGGGTCCACTGTGTCCGATGCTTGTGGTCAAAGTAACGAAAGGCCTGCTGGCAGCCCGGTGTACATACATCGGTGAAGGCTACAGACGGCCTGTAGAGAGCCTCCGAATAAATTTGTAGACGTTGCAAGTTATGTATAGAGTAGACGCATAAGAGAAATACAACATCAGCGTTAGGTTTTGGGTGTTGTCTTCTTAGATCGATGCCTGATTTCAAGAAGAGAGCTTCGTAGTGATTCAGTAAATCTGGCTTTGAAATCAAAGATTACACCAGGTCAAAGTTAGCGTCTAGTCTAGCCTCTTAAGCCCGATGCTTCCAGGCGTGCAAACGGGCCTTTGTACACAGTTAGCTCTCGTGTGTGTGTGTGTGTGTGTGTGTGTGTGTGTGTGTGTATGTGTGTTTTATAACTCTTTTTTAGGTTTAACGTGTGATCTGGAATATGTTCTTGTTGAAATCTGCAACGTAACTCATCGTATCATAGTGATGTCGAGCAATCAAGGTTTTCTGACTACACATAATTGTAATACTAGATAATCAATGTAGTTTTAGATGTTGCCAGAGTGGCTAATTATTAATTTCATAAACACATTTCAATTCTTTTGATTAATTTTTTATAGGAAAATTATTTGAAGAATGTACCAGTTTTAACAGCAGGACTTGACTGATGATGGAAGATCGTAATGTAAAGTTATTCTGTTTTGACCATAGCAAGTTTTGTTGTAAAGTACATTGGTGTTTTTTTTTTTTTTACCGTCGCTAGTGTTGTGAGCAAGGAATACTGTTATGCAGTGTTGTATGGTACTGTTGAGCAATAACAGCAGGTAGACTGGGCGCTATTAATCGGACTGTTGAAGTTAACTAGTTTTCCGGGAATCCTGTGTTGTATATACATAAATGTTCCTCGTATTTCTAGGTAGCTTTAACAGCTGAAATTTTCATTCGGCTTTAAATCCAGCAGCAGAAATGAGCCTTTCTATCTATGTATTTATTTTAACTTTCGCAGTTTCCAAGAATTTGCAGTTCCTTTCTATCTCAATCTGAAGGAGCTTTGAAGCTATCAATCCGATAATAAAATGTGGCTAGTTTTTGAAGAGTATTAACTTATACAAGCATTTGCAGTGTGTTTGTTGTGAAATGTAGCACGGTGAAGGTGGTCTTGGCTGTAAATCCAAGAGTAGAAATTAGCCAACTATTGAATGACATATACTGCCAACTGTTTATAAAACCATTAAGTAATCCTAAGTTTCAAGAATTGTCGAACGTAGGTTCTGCCATTGTCAGTTACTTCTAATATAATTAAGTGTGGGCTGTACAGCAGAATTCGCTTTCAAATGGCAGTGGTAGAGTGTTATGTTGTTTCTTGTCCAGCTGAGCATAAATATGTTGAATCCTAAATGGTACTAGTGGAATCGCGTGACAAGTCATCACTTTAATTGTCCACTCTGGGGCTGGAGATATCTGGCATGCAACGACACGGCCAGGGTTTTACGCCGTTTGAGGCCATAAATATGGCACGCAATCGGGCATGAAATGACGTAAGAATAGCCAGGATCAGTCGTGCCTTCGGTGCGTGAAATCTGAAAACTAAAAATTTTAACTGTATAAATTGCAAAGCATAAATTTAAAATAGTTTATACAGTATCTAGAGAAATAATGGTTTATAAGTTGTGCCAAGCAGCTACAACAAATACAATTTGTAATAATACTATTGTTTTTCGTTGCTTGATTAAATATAAGCAATAAATACAGTTTTACAAATTAAAGGGAATTAGACACATGGTTAAAATTGAATTACAAATAAAAAGGTTCAACAAACGTGTACTTTGCTTCGGAATCGAAGTGTTGACAAGGTTTCATTGTTCGCTAGGAACCTAATAGATATGGCCCTTCAAAGGGTATGTGCTTAATCTGCTGGGAGCAATGGAGCAACTGATTAGTTGCTAGCAAATAGCGATGACCAACACCAGAACACTCCGGACTAATTCATAGGTTCTATAAAGTGATCTCTTTCGTGAAAGTTCCTTAAGTAAAAAAAAAAAAAAAAACTAATCACCTGTGTTTCGTTCGTGTCGACTTATTACAGATCTTTTACCTTCAGTAACATTCTCATGTCTGGTGACACCGGGTTGTACCTCCATGAACATCTGTATTTGATTGCTTACAGCCCCCCCCCCCTTTTTTTTTTCACAGTTTGATCTGTTCTTATGAGTGCCCACTTCTCTAGTTCTCAAAGCAAGCCTAGCGTAAGGATATATTACCTGGCTTTTGCCATAAGTAAAGCAGCCGTGCTCGGCGGGGTATTTCCATACATTAGTTATAAGTACTAGACATACATTCAACGTTTTAGTTTTTAGACCTTGTTAACTTACAAAATGTAAAGAGGAATGAAATCGTACTAGGACATAACCTACAACTAGCTAACTAACCAGTCACTGAAAAACCCAACTACCTATCAACTAACTAGTGAATCATCAAGTAATTACCCAACCGCATATCGACTAACTAGCCAAGCAACAAACATTCAAATCAAACAACCAACCAAACAATCAGGTGGTTACAATTAAATGTTTTCAAACAACTATATCGACTAAACAATCAGCAGCCAACAACACACACACACACACACACACACACACACATACAGAGACAAAGAGAGAGAGAGAGAGACACACACACACACACAGAGACAAAGAGAGAGAGACACACACACACACAGTATTATTACCCAAAGCGACAAGAACAAAAACATACAGGCGCAGCATGGAACTTCTGCTTCTTCAGCTTTCCCAGCCCTATAGGTTTATTGCTGCAGATGTCACCCACCTTCATTCCTCTCTCTCTCTCTCTCTCTCTCTCTCTCTCTCTCTCTCTCTCTCTCTCTCTCTCTCTCTCTCTCTATCTCTATCTCTCTCTCTCTCTCTCTCTCTCTCTCTCTCTCTCTCTCTCTCTCTCTCTCTGGTTGGCCTTCTCTTTCCGGTTGGTGAAACCAAGTGTTTGCATAGAACTAGATAACAATATACACAAATAACTGTACAGTATACGATATCACCAGGACACTCCTGCTGTAGAGACAAGGTATTAAAGCAACAGGAGTTCTTGAATGCTTTCTGATTGCTGCTGAAACGTGACAAGAGACACCTCATCGATTGACTACAAGAAGCAAGTAAAGAGAGCTCGAACAACGACTGAATAATATTGGAAATGGTTCAAACGTGCCTTTATAAAACATTATTTGTGAAGTTCAACAAATGTGGTTGTTTTTTTTAATTTTTTTTTTTTTTATCTTGAAGTATCAATTAACTATGTATGTAACTGTAATTTTTATAATGTTTAAGATTAAAAACAGTTTACCCTAGAGAATTAAAAATACACACAGTATTTGTATTACAATAATATAAATTCGTCATTAAAACAAAAGCAAAACAAAAAACAAAAGCCAACTGGTGAATTGTGTTAGGGTATTGGAAATCAGCTTTTTAAAATCAATAACAAATGTTTTTTTTAGTTCTGATACACAAAAAAGTCTGAAATGTGTATTGACAATCGTTATTGGGGGGGGGGGGGGGGGGGCTCTACCAAACCCTTCCCTACCCCTGACATAAGGGGAGCTCTGCTGAACCCTTCCCTACCCCTGACATAAGGGGAGCTCTGCTGAACCCTTCCCCACCCCTGACATAAGGGGAGCTCTGCTGAACCCTTCCCCACCCCTGTCATAGAAGAGCTTTGTCGAATCCTTCCCCACCCCTGACATAGAAGAGCTCTGTCAAACCCTCCCCTACCATTGACATAGAAGAGCTCTGCCGAACCCTTCCCCACCTCTGACATGGGGGGGGGGGGGGGCTCTGTTGAACCTTTCCCCACCCCTGACATGAAGAGCTCTGTCAAACCCTCCCCTACCATTGACATAGAAGAGCTCTGCCGAACCCTTCCCCACCCCTGACATGGGGGGGGGGGGCTCTGTTGAACCCTTCCCACCCCTGACATAGAGGAGCTATGTCGAACCCTTTCCCATCACTGACATAGGGGGAACAGGGCGCTCAAAAGACCTTGCATATTGCCCAGTCCAGGCGACGATACCCAGCCACATGTAAGTAGGCCATAGATTCCCTCACTCGTAATAACCGATAACAAATATTTCCGGACACTGAGTTTATTGTAGCTACGGCAACGTAACCTTCGTCTCGAAATTACTCGACCTGACATCCGTCAATGCCAAACATATTGAGAATTCCCATTCCAATGAAAATAGCGACGAAATATTAGACCAACGTTCTTGAATTCCACACACTGAAAAATACATGATGTTTTTCCAAGTAGTTGGTAGTATATTACACAGTATTATTGTCATAATAGCCAAACACGTATGCGTAGATCTTGTTAGACAGACAAGCTGGGAGACGGACGGACGGACAGACAAACATACAGGCATATAAATATGTAGATAGATAGATTAAACAGACAGACAGACACAGACAAGGTCGTTTTCTCTCTGTGTGCTAGCCTATCTATCTTGCTGTAAATGTACGTCTGCGTCGTTTCTGTCTGCCAGTTTGTCTGTCATGGTTTCCAAGATGTCTACAGAAGCCGAAACAAGATCCAAAAGTATGAACAGCAGAAACAATGTATCGAGTCGTAGAAAAACATACATGGATTGAATTCGCTCCCATATTTGTCTGGAAGTAATGCAATTTCGTAAATTAGAAGTATTACTGGAAATAAGACTCCAGAAAATTATATGACCCCTAAAGGGAATAGTTGCGCCTTGCAATTGCTGTATACACATATAATTAGTGGATGTAAAACATTCGAATTAGCGAATGTAGCTGGCGTTAGGGTTTCATTTCAAAAGCGCTGAGAAAAACTAACTTCTTCTTATGTGTTTACCGGCTGTAAACTCTGATGGAAGGTCCTGGGTGTTTTTTTTTTTTTTTTTAAGAACTTCAGTTTGCGTGCACATCTGT